TTGCACTCTAAAAATGCTACTTGTGGATGAAGTGTTAAGCATAAAACTTGACTAAGGTTCGATTCCAAAACGCTCGTAATTCACCAGAAAAGGAGTGTATGATAATGGGAATGCGTATGTAGGCATCGAAATTTTACAGTGGAGTTACAAATCGGAGAGACCCACAGGAAGGTTGTTGTAAGAGTGGAGGGAAGCGTTGATCAGCGGCAGCTGTCCGAAGAGATCGAGGAGCTGCGTATTGAACTGTTTGGGGTCAGCGGTGGCGGTGGCAGCGGAGGGCCATGAGCAGTGAAAGAGGGAGGAGATGTCCCACGTTATTCCGGTGGCGTTGGGCAAACTGGGATCGGGCAGAGAGTACACCGGCACCAGAGTCACAATTGCATGCCAGACACTCACTTTGCAGAGAATCCCCAACGACATCAAAACATACTTATCCTAAAACCGAGAGGGCGGTATGAATGGGGACTTACTGTGTGCAACATAAGGTGACGCCAAGTCATGTTTAAAGGCAAGTGCCAAGTAAATGACGCGTGTTGCGGCAACGATAAGGTATAGATAGGCCAGGACACGAGGGGCTTAGAACTTAGTTTCTAGTTGTCTTTTCGTAACATCTTAGTATGCACATTAAATATCACCGTAATCAGGGGGATTCGAAAGGTGCTAATCAACACGATTTTAGAATATTTGTTGCAAGAGTTTGTTCCTGAATGAAATTTGGTTAACTTCTTCATTGGTAGAACCGTTCATTGCATTTTACACCGTACGCTCAAAAAATTCCATTAAAGGCTGACGCTAGTATACATCTGGACTTTCATCATTTGCTTATTCAAAAAAAAAATTTCGAACAATTTGTTTTTCGAAGCTGTACCACTCTAAACTTTCGATTATATCAACGAAAATCCCCAGGCGGTAAAAATTGTACTTTAAGTGACTTTTTACGACTTCTATGCAGATTTTACGAGGAAATACAATAGAAAAGATCAAACTTTTATTGGTCGAAGTCAAAATCTATGGGAAACGTAGATTCCCCCCCCCCCCCCCCGTTAAACGGTGCAGACTGACCATGAAAGTGAGATAGGAAATCTTGGGGAGGGACTGATTAATGACGAATTTGAACGCCACCGATGTGAGGAAAAGAGTGAAAGAAAGTTGAAGACGATTCTCCGGTCGTTCGGCAGACACTGAAAACGTGGCAAATGAGAGGCCTGTGATGAAAAACTGCAAGGAAGAAAGTTCACCACCTTAGAGTCGCTAGAAGGAACACGAAAAATTACTGAAACAAGTTTGCTCTGCAAAATACTATCGTCAATAAGCACGTCGGTGCTTTTGAAATGTTAACGACAAAGTATCCCAAACTATTTATTAATAATATTGAATTTTCTTTTCAGAAAAAAACCGGCTTGGTTTGCAATAATCATAGTGGGCTAGTGAAGCCATGTTTGAGAAACCGAGATGTGCATATTTGATGGGAGTGGGGAAGGGGGGAGCGAAACTTGCCATGATGAGGAACACGTTCCAGTAGAAGTAGCCGGGTCGCCGGGCTGCGCGACAAGTCACGGAAATGCAGGGGTGCTTCTGGGAAGAGGTTGTGAATTCCTGTACAATTGATTGCCGTGTTATTTCAATGTGCTCATGAAGGCGCCATTCCTGTAGATAAAATCATACATTATAAACCAAAGCAGTAGTAAAATATCCTTTTACAACCAAAATTAGCTTGAAATAGGGCAGAAAAATGACACTTATTAATAAATTGAATGCACAATTACAAATGGATATTAATCTAAGGTGTCACAAGGATGATCATACAGCATTAGTGCGTCGCAGCTCAATTTCGAGCAACTGATATTTTCAAGTTACAAACATTAGAATTTGCTTTGTTGTTCTGTTAAGGAATAAGGACGGTTTTTTGGTTTTCTTGAAAGAAAGACACAAATAGAGTGTCCCGCGAAGTCCCACCGAATTTGAGGCCATTTTACACACGATTGGTTGCTAGTTGGGGAAAAGTCACAGGGCTTCTAAGGTTGTGGTCCACGCTTTTTAGGGTCATTGTTCCGGGAAATTTTACCGGACATTGCACATTTTCCATGTTAGCTGAATGGATTCAAAGTATCGATAGTAAAAGCTTAATTAGCTTATCCTTATTTGAAAGAAATATCTACCACCCTCTCCCATTTGTACTAAAATAGGGGACAGACACGATATTACTTTGTGCGAATGTTGGCAAGCTTTTCTGGCTAATGCTATAAATCGCATAAGTTATCCATTGCTTGGATAAGGGCACCAATTGAAACATTACCCGGTAGAATTTACAAACAGTTTATTTCATGATGACCGATTACATTTAAAAAGGAAATAAGTCGATTTAAGTGGGTGTGCATACTTTTACCAAAACCAGCCGGAAGACATCTCTTATCATCTTGCCTACACAATCACTCAAATGGAAATTGCATTTGAATTTGCATTAAAAGTGAAGCTTTTAAATTTCTAAGAGTTTTCTCATTCAACTCGCTAATGCTAATATGAAACGGCACGCAATTGTAATCAAGGCTAACAAAAGCAAGAATAATTTTTTTTCGAGAAACTCGGCTTTTGTGGCATTCTACAAAGTTTCATTTGTGGTTTGTACCAGAAAGTGTAAATAGATAATACCTTTATTACATAAAAAATGCCTTTGAACAAGCACGGCAATCATTTTGAAAATTGAATTTTTGCTTTTCTGAATCTCTTTATGGTCCAATGCCTTCAACTTGCTCGATTCTTCTCCACAAAACAGTTAGGCGATACTGCCGTTAAAAAGGCATTGCAGTATTTCCATGTGCTAACCATGTAGGTCAGAAGTAAAGTACATGAGAGGTTTATTTGAAAAAGTTCTCGCCAGCTCATATCTCAGGAACGCATCTGCCATACAGCTTCAGTGAATTCTCCGGATCAAAAGTCCATTTAGCCAACACCGTCGTAAAGTTCTTCACAAGGGTACAAGGTAGTACAACTTATGGTTAGAAGGAGCTAACACAGCTAGAGTAACAAATGCATTCTCGCAAAAGTATTTTGAGCAGAGAATGAAGTACTTTAACTTTTGAGTGCCTGAATGGCGAATGAGCCGTTTGTCTACACGTTATCGGCCTATAGCGTGCTTTCTAGCTCACTGTCCCTTCTGTTTATAAGTTTTTTTAAGAGTCATGTACTCTTTTGCCTCCAGATGCGTAATCTTCTCACAGACATGCAGCTACTGATGATTAAAAACGGTTAAAGCATGGTAATAACAATTACAACTTTCTAAATAAAAGAAGAAATCGTTTATCTGATCTGGATGCATACGACCGGATAAGACGGAAGAACGTAATTTTGGTGATTCATTATAATGTTTGAAATAATGTTTTGATATTTTGTGGCAATTTCACTGTCAAGATATGGACATGGTTATGGAATGTCTCATTGGAAAACGGTACAGATCTGTCCAGCACCAGCCGATTTTAGTAGATTGAAATGGATGACATGCCAAATGAATGTGCTAAAATTCAGAGATATGCGCAGTCAATTCCGTGATATGTACAAACTCAAATTTAATCAAAAGGATACATAATTTGACTCTGAACTTTTTCGCACCTTACTCAGTAAGATGTATTTGGATTTTCTCCATAGGTGTTGTTTTCTAATAAATGACTTCAGGACTCTAGCAATTTCATTCAAAATTGTAAGGCTGAATTCAGTTTAAAGGGACATTTAGGCTAGTATTTTACTCTTGCCGAAAAATGTACATGCACCATTTACGAACCTGTTGATCAACGAGGGTCTGCAAATTGATCCCGCACAAATCTGTGCTGTCGGGGACCAACTCCACTTCTGTATCTGGTCTTTCAGACGATAGGGTGATGGTCAAATCCTTAAAAAAGAACACAGGGGTTCATTTTTTGAGTTTTATGATTCTTCTTCTCAGTCTTCGTTTTTTACCTTTTAATATGAACAATAAATTCCTTGTCAGAGCCAAACTTACAGGTATCCATAAGTAACGCTAAGTTACTAACGGCTAAAAGCGTGTATACTTGAAAAAAATTAATTAAGCACAGCTGCTTACTCGCTATATCAGTTTAACATATTGCAATGCTTGTTTGTTTAACCTTTCCTTTTGGTTTCATAAGCATTTAAAGCTGCATGGTCTCCGGGCTACGCCAGCAGTCCCCAGTCCTTCTGTACGTCGCCAATACACTTTCTACCCTAGTATTACGCCTTGTTTCTTCTTCAGAAAAGATACGGGATACTACAATATCTTTATATTTACGATTTCTTATTTTAACTCGACCAACACTAAGACCTTGAAGGAAAATCAGCTACTGCAACGCGCAGGAGATGTTCTGTTTAAGGTTATGCCGCTCAAATAAAAAAATGTATAATGACCCTCAAATCACGAATATTTTAAATCCACTTTATTATTATAAACTCGATCAGTCTGTTTGACACACGATTCGGTATAGCCATTTACCAAAATGATAGGGAATCCAGATCCCCATGCGTGATGTTGGCAGTATGCCTGTCTAGGCACGTCGCCAACTTGGATGACTACTCCAGACGAGAGGAAGCTCGTAGTTTAATTCATTTCGTCTGCGTTTTTTAAATGCAAAAAATAAATTTGATCTAGCTGTAGCTACAACAACCAGAGTTCCATTTGGCCTGAAAAGATTGCTTAGAGAATAATAGGTTTTAAACTATTGCATCGGTCAAATGGGGACCTCAGATAAAATGAATCCCAGACTAATTCAGTAAGCACCACATCCCGTTCTAAATGGTTACCCAAACACCGCCTTCAGCAGTAAGTAAGTTATTTATTAATTACATTATTCATTTTAGAGACGCTTAATTTATTTATGTTTTTTTTGTTCTCGATAATCGATCTGTGCTTTGGTTACTACTTTGGCGATGGGAATAACCGAGGGAACCCGCGGTATCTTCCCGCATATGAACTCGATCTGATAAGAGTTGGCCATAGGGTCAATGAGAACTGGCTACTGCTGTTGTGTGACCTCCATAAATGTGGAAGATTCTCCTTCGGATATCTTCTCATTTGGCTTCACTGCCATCAGCTCCGAGGTCAATGCCATTGACTGTCGATATTGTCGAATGTCTTAAGAATAGTACACAAGGGATTCATTTTTCAAACAATTGCAATTTTTCAAGGACGAAAGGGTGTAAGAGACTACCAGTCTTAGTTTATTTGTTTTAAGTGTGTCGGTATAACCATTCTGTATTATTTGCTGATTTTGCTAACTAAAGAGGCTACTTGTTTCGTCACTGCTGTTGCTGTTCCTTATTTAGTATGTAATTGGCGAGTAAAACCCACATTTCTATCACTATTCCCATTTCCGAAACAGTCTAACGGAAATGTAATGGAGAGTGAAATAATGTGAAATCTGTTTCAAGTAAAAGTTCCGGCATTTTAAGAACGAAGGCATAACTGACTGTAGTGGATTTTCTGCCCTTTAGCATCAAGGGCAAATAGAATGGTTATCAGTAACAAATTTGCTTTACCTTTAAAAAAACCACATCCATGAGCTTTCACGATCTTGTAAATGTCGGCAAATATATGTGCAAGTGGAGAGATTACCTGTACATCCAGCGGAAAGTCATTGAGTTCGAGGGTCTCGAGGAAGATGGCACGCAGACGTCGCCTTTCGGTCACAAAGACTTGCCCGGCGTCATCATTCTTTGCCGATATCCAATGCTGGTCCTTCGATTCGGTAAGAATGTTCTCAATGTACACTAATGGGTTCCAGCACTTTGAGAGGTCCATCTTTGCCAGTTCCTGAATAAATCAACCATTTAAGAATGGAAAACATTACAACAGCGATTTCAAACTGCGGCACGTAAACTACACACTATGAAAAGTGCCCCGATGGCAAACGCAGTGTTTTAATATTGGCAAATGAGCACCTATTTTGGAGAGAGTAAGCGCTAATTATCGCTTAGGCTGTTTCCTCCTCGAAGTTATAAATTGGTATAGCAAATATTTATTCACGAGGAATGTTTTTAACCCTACCCTAGCAATTCCACCTTTCACTTATCATTTTTCAATAACGAGATCTAAAATGGGTGATAGATCAATCTTCGAGGGTACCTCCACCCAGAGGCAAAGCAGCATTCTGAATATAAACTAGATGATCGGTGATGGTGACATGTTTATTGTAAAGGCAATACACACGCACATGAAACACAATAGAACATTGTTCGCATTGATAGTTTCGAGGTGATTTGCGGTCTATGGAAAAAATAATCCTCCTTCCTTCTGATGCAAAAAAGTGATTAGAAATATATTGTTCAGTGGAAGCTAGGTCTAAGTGATTCCGCCTCGTGATAGGTAGTTCGATGGAAATATGGGTAAAGTGGGTTGTCGACTATTGCACAGGTGATCAGCTCCCAATCTTTGTCTACACGTAATTGCATCCACTTACAACCACTGAAAACTCGCAAAACCATGTTTGCTTGCTCAAAACCACTCAGTTTTACTATGATTTTAACAATTTATGCAAATTCATAAAGAATAAGCTTCAAGAATATCATTACATGGTTGGATATGAGAGTGAAATCCGATTCCCCTATATTCACCGCCGTTTCTTGATTGCGCTTATCCAATAAAGCTTGAATTCCCTTTTCCATCAGCATTAACGAATCTCACGATTTTGCAAACAGAATTAGTTTAACCAGTGCTTGATATTGTGGCTACTAATACCTATAATGAGCTTAGTGGGTCGAAACTCCAAAGTGATGGATGCCATATGAATACCACTGTTTTTTTCATCCGATGTGATAGCTGAGAATTTGTTACAGTCTTATTAGCATGGGTTCAGTTTTACTTTTAACAGTGTGAGTTATTACTCTCCACTCATCGATTACATTGAGAAAATCTACTCTAAAGTAATACTTCAAAAGGAAACTTCAAGTTATTATAAACTGGAGCAGACCTCGTCGGTTTTTCCATTAAGTCGAGGCTCAGGCCACTTGGTTTGAATGAACGCATCGGCGCGAAACATCTCCTTCAGTGTGTCTATTTCGCCGATCTTCAGAAACACCACTCGCACCTCTACGGTCACCTAAAAGCGGGTGGATTTATTCCAAAAATTGTCCACGGGCAAAACACTATGGGGGCGATTAATAAAGTCAATTTGTTTTTTAATCGAACGGAAGAGAAGTCATGTCAATAGGCCCATGTGAAAATGTTCGCATTTTTCTAATTCGAGATTTTTGTGCTGCACTCCCAAAGGACTTGCCAACTGGCTATAATTTCGAAATCCATATCAAATTTAGGTGAATGAAGTACCCTTGGATCAGTTCGGAACGTATCTTTTGGTTGTTTTATTTCTACTTTGGCATAGGGGCCAATGAGGTGAAGATTCCTGACTTAAGATACATCTTTTGAAAAGGCACTGAAAATGCTAGGATGGCATTTAAGTACAAAACTGGCTATTTCAACTTCGTCACGTAAACGTGCAGGAACTTGTCAAGTAGGCAACTGCTTCATGACGTGACAGTCCAAGAGACAATTAGGGAAAAAAAGTCCCTTAATATTATTTTAATTTGGTTTTAAATGGCAATTCTATGCCTGGAGATTGCAAGAAAGTGGTTTCTTTGGTCCCCATTAATGAATTGCATACCCTTTTAAGTGAAATAATCTAGGAGGAAGGCAATGTGATTATTCAGCACGCTGGTTAGCAATGAGGTTATTGCAAAAGACGGCCTTTGATAAATGCCCACAAAATTACCGGAAGGAGGTTTAAGGCAAATTAGGCTACACGAGTTTACTTTCTTCGGTGGTGACAATTAGCAGGCTTCTCAGTTAAATTAAGTAATGCAATGCTTCTTGAAACCTTTAACAGCAGTGGAAGACGTTGTTCTAAGTTGAAAACCCTAGACTCTCGGAAGCAACTGATTTATTCTGATGGAGCAAGGCAAAACCGGCCGTTTGTTCCATTGAATTCAGTTGTACTGGGTTGTTCCATTCAAGTAAAACATAAGCCAGTTTTTTGCCCGAATCTGGCACTGGGTTCGAAAATGATCCTGAAATTATTTAGACAACTTCGAATTCGGGATGGACAGACTCCGTTTTCATAGGCCGTAAGCACTGAAATTGAAAATGGCTGCAAAGGTTCGAGTTGAGTTATGTGACAGAAATGAAAATCAAATGAGTAAGCAGGTTTAAGATTGTCCCGAATCCTACACCATGATCTCGCATGAGTTACAGACTTAAGCACTTTTATTTAAGATAATAAAGGACTCATTCACTTATTGTCAATGAATAAAGTATTTTGCGTCCCTAATTTGAAGCCTACCAACAATGACATTAAGATGCCCGTTATCTACTAACCTTTTCCGATTTTTTAGACATCCTTTCGTTTGTTCGGAGGACGCTATGATGTGATAGATCCTTACAAGCCGGTGCCGCATCCACTTGGTATGGTTGGTGGCTCAGTGTGTTCCTTCGGTGCTTTGGCTGGTCGGCCACACGCGGCTCCTGCTGCATACTCGGTGGAGCGCGGAGCTGCAGTGTTGGTGATTCCTTATGTCTAACCCGTCGCCTGTTATGGTTGTCAATCAGCAGTCGTAAGCACTCCAATGTGTGCGACAACCGCTCTGTCTCCCTCTCCTGCTGGTCTGTGGTCTCCACTGAACCATCCACTTCTTTGGAGTCGGTGTAATCCTGCGACCTAACATTTTCAAAAGTAGCCTCCGAACTACTAAACGTGGAGACCTGTGTATGAGTAGTCGACTGGCCCTTGGGCAGGAGATTTTGCAGGAAAAGTTTGTTGAAGTTGATGGCCATGCTCGATGCCCCCAGCCAGCGCAATTGTTCAGCGCTTGAGTTGTGGCCGTAGACGAACGCACACGCGTACGCACAGGCACACGCGCGCCCTATGACGGCAGAGCGCACGCACACACGCACTCGCGCCTGTTTGTCCCACCAGCCGGCTGCCTTTTGGGCCGCTCAACGCAGCAAATCCGGAATGAGATAGGGCAGGATGAGCAATCAATAGAACCAAAATGGCCATTTGCCTAATAAATAGTTTTTTTCTCCTTTTTCATCCCTAGGTCAATGTGGGCTATCGACAATACTTTCATAATGAAATTCTTTACACTGACTTTTTATCATGCGGACTAATTAAATTTGTTAACACATGCTGAACTCTGCCCAATTTAAACATACTTATTAATAGTTAAAAATTCGTAAATTACGTGTAAAAGAATGTGAACACAAAAAAAATAGACGG